AAACACCTACTTCATTGAAAAACACAGCCCTAGTCTAGATGTAGATCTGCATCTCCCCACAGAGACTGCCACTGCAAGAAGGAGCCAGCTTGGATCCTGTGTGCAGAGTCTACCTGGAGCATGGTAAGTCAAGAAAAAGCCCCAGGTACAAAGTAGCCTGTGTGTCAGGTGAGGTCCAGGTGTGAACCAAAGTTAAATTGCTGCTGTGGTACCCCAAACAGATCAAGCTGACCTGAAATATTGGCCACGCAACTCCTCCAGCTCCAGAGTAGCTCTGCTTGTTCCCAGTACTGACAGTTTTCTTCTGGAGAGGCTGTTCCAGCATATTTCCAAACTTTACACCTCATAAAGACTAAAAGCTATGGTACAAAGTACTCACATCTCTAACTCAGATGTCTCAGCATGATATTTCTGTGTTCCATACCACAGGTCAAAATTATTTCCCTGTTCTTGCACCCCTTGTTCCTTACACACAGGCAGGGTGAGCACAGCATGATGTTGGCTCTGTCCTTGAGCATTCCTGAGTCACCCAGGCCAGGCTTTGCACCTTAGCAGTCAAGGGATGTTTCCACTGATTTTGATGTTATGAGTCACCTTGGTGGGTGAGTACTCTTTCTGCTCTGATGTATTATTGATAACCCTGGAAAAAAACAAACTTATCAGAAACTCTGTAGGGATATTAAAAAAAATCAGGATGGTCTTTTATTTTACTACGTGTTGCTTGTCTAACACACTCATAACAGCTTTCTTTTCCCTTCAGTTTAATGAGAAATTTCTGTTCTTTTCTCCCTTATCAACTTTTGCAAATATACCTTCCCATCTTGTATTTTCTCTACCCAGCACCAGGGAAAACCCTGGCACACATGTACCACGTAGCTTTGGACATTACAGAAGCAAAGAGGAAGAAAGGTCACACATGAGCCTTATCTCTGGCTTTGCAGTTCTGGCCTGATTTGAAAGCAAGACACATATGTCCTTCAATTATTCACTAGGGTAACAGCAAACTCTGAGGCTACCTGCACCTCTTGCTGCCCATCTTGCAGCAGCAGGAGGCTGTGGCACACAAACACCTCAGCATAGAGGTCCCAAGCAACCAGAAAAACTGAAACATTTGTCAGAAATAATGTGCAGTAAAGCAAAGAGAAAATAAGGCAATTAATCACTCAAAAAAGGGGGCTGAGGGAGAAGGGGAGAGAGAGAGAGAGAGAAAGAGAGAGAATGGGAAAAGAAACCTGATAGCTTGTGCTGCCTCTCCTGGAAGTCTGTCAGCCCACTGACAGGAAGATTAAAGATGCTGATGGGAATTCCTTTCTCACCACAGGCAGCTTTAAAAGCACAGGACAATAATCTACTTTTACAGGTCTGGCTGTGGCTTTTCCACAACACGTCTTTTTCCTCCCTTACTCTAAATAAAAAAGGATGATCCATTGCAGCTCAGCTTGTTTTCTGAGTGCTGCCTTCACAGCCGGGGTGAAGGTATTGATTGAAGCACTTGGACATTTATTGGATTTGTGACTTCTCTGATGTGTTAAAAATGTTTTGACCTGCTTAACTCATACAGTCCTACATGCTCCAGCATTTGTTAATGTAACCACTAAAGGTCCAGACTCTCTGCCACACTTCCTTTATGAAGAGACCAACCAGTGAAATTCCTGGAAGGCAGGATACAGATTTCAAAGCATTGGATTTAGCAATATACTTGACACTGGGCTTGAAGAGCCTGCACAGCTTAGAGTTCACCTCTCCTTGACCCTCTGGGAAGGACAATACACATTGCTGTACCCACAGCTTAAGCTGGATTGCTGGTTTCAGTGTCTTGCTTTTTTAGGAACCTGTTCAGCAGAGTGAATTGCACTGGTAGGTTGTTCTGAATGGCCTCTTGAGTCGAGTTCTCCAACCATCCCCATGGCTTATTTACTGAATGGGTTCATCATGGGATGAGGAAATGCAAGAAGGGGAAATTACTTAGGGACAAAGTCAGTGCTGTCCTTTTGCCCCATAAGGACAGAATTTTTGCTGCTTGATTTTCTTATACAGACCTCTAAGTTTTTCATCTGAGCAAGAAAAGAATGATTGATCCTCTTACAGGCAATCTTATACCACTCTCATACCTGTGCTTTATTTTCACCCTTGTTTCCCAATTTCACAGAAAAGGCCTTTATATATCCTGGACAAGGTGACATTTTTGTGTTCTGTGATGACATCACTTGCTCTCAGTTCTCTGTGTGCTTGAGTCAGTCTGGCCTTTTTGCATTTTCAGAAAGGGTCATCCCTGTGGTGATTTCCAGGCTGAAGGATAATTTGTGCTTTACACACAGGAATATTCCCTGTTGCAAGAGCATCAACTCTTGAAATGCTTGATCTAAATCTCCAGAAGAACTACTCACTACTGCAGTTCTCAGTACCTGAGGAGTGATGTCTCACATCAGGCTTTAGCAGTGCAATTAAAAAACAGCAACCTCCTGTTTCACTTGTTTCATGTAACTAATTTATTCTGTTTTCTGGGCTGAGGCTCTCCAAAGGACATAACCAAGCTTAGTAAGGGGAAGAAGAGCAGAAATGGGAGTCAAGTATCCACTTATGGGCAGCAACTGTACCAGCTCTCAGCTGAAATAAATTCCAGGATCCTAATAGATAATGCCACCATATGACTGTAAATAAACTGTATTATTATATTCTTAATAGCTTTTCATGGATATTCAAATGAGATAACATACACAAAATAAAATACTAGTAAAATAACAGACAAAGGAGTTTTAAAAAATAGTAACCTAATTATTTCTAAAAAGTCAAATCAATAATTAAATTCACAGGACAACAGAATTATTATTTTTTTAAAGTGGAAGTCAATAACATGTGTTGTAAACAAAGCTTTAATCCGAGGTTACTCCAGATACACAGTAATGTTTTGCAGTCAATAGGCCCCAAAAGAGTATTAAGCTTGCATAGATGCCTGACTAAGATGGTGACATATTTACAATACATACCACTGATTTATATGTGTTTTTTCCTCTCCATCCAAGCAATAGCTTTTCCTCATCCCTATCCTAACAGCTGCAGCTACGGGTTTTGCTTCAGGCTTTGTTTGGGGGATTAAAAGCATCTCAGTATAATCTCTTTTTGTTTTATACACTGAAGAAAGAATTAGAGATGAAAATTGATGCCACAATGGATTTCATTAATCACACCAGGAGGCTTGGTTTGCTGTAGTAGGCACTTCCAGCAGAAGGTGCTCACAATCAGCTTAAATATTAAACGCCCTCCTGTGTTTAAATAGTGACGATCAAATCTGTGAAAGCACAGCTCCCATGGCAGGGCAGGGGTTCTTTCAAAAGGGCCAATGCTGTTCCAACCAGCTCACCTTATGGTGAATCCTTCTCTCCAGCAATGTAAGCATCAGTTGACTGCCAGGACAAAAGGACTAGAAAAATCAGTGCCTGGGGGAATTGCTACAAGATAAAGGAAGCGTCACCTCTGGGTCAGCAGCGCAAAAGAAATCACGATGGTCATAATGGCCAACAGTTACCACAGTGGGACGGGTGCTGGTGGCTTGGCACGAGGTACCAGGTGTCCGCCTGGCCCTCGGAGAGCAGGAGCTCACATTACAAAAAGCACCCCAAATGTTAACTGACGCTGCCAAGAACAGGGCCGAGAATAGACAGGTCCCGCTGGCTGGGCTGTTGGGGCGTATCCCCATGGAAGGCCAAGTCCCAGTGGCAGATGGCCAGAGGGAAGTTTGCATTCCCACAATTCATGTTCTAACTGTTACGAATAATCAGCAGCTCTCCAGGGCCCTGGGTCTGACACGAGGCAGGAGCCAGCCCTGCTAGAAAACTGCATCAGTCACCAACTGTCCCAGCCAAAAGCATCCTTGGACTGATGCATCAGGGCTGTTGCATACAGATGAATGTGGTCTGAGTATTCTGTAGAGGAAAGGAAAGCAAGCCCCATGGAAACCGGGTCTACAGAGAAAAGCTGTAACACTTGTAATTCCTTTCTGCAGAATCCAGGAATCAAAAGCACAAGTTCCCTTAAAAATGTTTTTGTTCAATCACTATTAAAGTATCATTTGAAATTAGAGCATAATCAGAATTGAGGGAATGGGGTCTCAGCAAACGTGACAATATACAGTTTTATGCTGCCTTATTCTGCCTCAGCCTCTCTCCTGTGGTGAGACAACAAAACCAAAACTGAAAACCCAACAAGTCCTGACCCCAGTAGAGAGAACAGTGCCAGGAGAAGAATTGACTACAACTCCCAACGTTCACTAAGGGTACCTTTAGGACAAATGCTATCCGGGAACATCCCAAACAATCTGAAATTGAAAGCGAGCCCCGGTGGCTGTTGGAAGCTGTAGTCAGCTCTCCAGGGCGAACCACTGAGCAGAAAGATCCCGAGAGCCGCTCTGGTACCCAAAAGATCCCCTCTAGAGCTCAGGGTAGCAAGCAGGCAGAACGCGCTGTGCCCCTTCCGGAGGGGTGCCAAGCTCCGCTTTTGGGCTTTCCCGATGTTCTGGGGGGATTTTCGGCCTGGGGCTGCGGCAGAAGCAGCGAGACCTGCCGGCGGCAGGCGGCTCCGGGAGGGGCCGGGCAGCGACCCGCGGGGTCCCGGTGCCGATGCGGTGCCGCGGGGGATGCCGGTGCCGCCGGAGGTGCCAGGCGCGGTGCCGTGCCCGCTGCGGAGCCGCCGGCGGGGCCCGGCGGCGGGGGCGGGGCCGGGGGCGCGGCGCTCCCCGCCCAGCCGCCGCAACCGCGGGCCGGGCGCGGGGGCGCAGCGGAGCGGCGGCGGCGCGCAGGGCCATGTCGGCGCCGTGCTGCGCTGCCCGCCGCCGGGTCAGCACCGGCGAGGCGGACAGCGCCGGCGGCATGGACCGCCCGGGGCGCGCCCTGGAGCTGGCCCTGGAGGAGGAGCTGGCGCTGCTGGCCGCCGCCGGGGAGCGCCGGAGCCGCCGCCCGCCGCCCGCCGACCCCGACCCCGAGCTGCTCTCGCTGATCCGCAGAAGGAGAAAGGACCTGAGTGCTGGCGGCGCGGCTGGGGAAGGCGCTGCTGGAGCGCAACCAGGACATGAGCCGGCAGTACGAGAGGATGCACAAGGAGCTCACCGACAAGCTGGAGGTGAGGCCCCGCCGCCCGGCCCCGGCCCGCGGGCGGACATCGGAGCGCGCCCCTTCCCCGCCGGGCCCCGGGCACGGGCCCTGCCGGGCAGCCCACGGGACTCCCCGAGGCCCTGACAGGGAAGGAAGGGTCTGAGCGATCCCTCCGAGGCCTGGGGGAGGCAAAGCTGCTGCTTTCTCCCCCGCTGCCGAGCTGGGGCCGGGCTGCAGCGCCGTGCTCGGGAGGTCCCCGGGGGGCCCTTTCGCCCCAGGACCCAGGTACCACCTAGGGGAGGAGATGTGCGCGGTGCTCGGCTCATCTCGTCACAGAAATACCTCAGAAGTTAAATCTGCGCAGCAGGTACCGAGCTACAGAGCATATGTGACCCTTGTGCTTAAGCTGTTGCAGCTCAGGCATTAGGCATGGCAGGAGATAAGCCCTAATGATACATCTCTGTTAGCTGCTTGCTCCGGAAAATACCTACAGGTATCTGGAGAGAGCCAGGGACTCGGTGGGTTGAGCTCTTTATTGATTTTTAAGGACAATAGAGCTATTACAAAGAAAAAGACTTGTGCAGGCAGCTTCTTTTGGAACAACTCTCTTGCACAACTATGTGAGAGAGCCACTATTATTACCAGCACTCTTTTTCACAGAGGTGCTCCTGAAATAGTATTTCCTCCTGTAAGTAATACTGCTTAGAAGGCTGAGAAGAGCCTCTCTCACCTTTCTGGAGAGTTTGAACACTGCTGGATGAACATTCAAATTTCAAGTCACAGCCCTAGACCAGTTCTTTCTGCACAGTCCTGCATATTCCTGTATTCCTTCCTCATGGACTTAACATTTCTCAAGTTCAAGAGGATTTGTGAAATTACTGTATGGCCTTTGTTCTCCTGAAAAAATTCCTCTCTATTATTAAACTTGTCACTTTACCCCCCTAACTGGTCCCTTCCTCTTTGCAGGGAAATCTCCCTGCATTTATTATTCCGACCAAAGAATAGTGAAGGTGACATTTGCTCAAATTGCTGTTTAGTGGCTCTGTTTATCAGATTAGAATTTCCCAGAGTATTAAAACTTGCCAGGGTGAATGTTTTCAGGTTGGTCTTTAAGCAAGAACAGACGTATGTGGCGTTGTGCTGACGTGGTTTTCCTTATGAGTCGGAGTAGAATCGTTTCTGTCATTAAAGGAAAAACACTCAAGTTTAGGTACTCACTGAGCAGCCTGTCAGGGAATTCAGGAGCCTCAAATACCACTCACTGTTTGCAAAATGTGAAGATGAAAAGGAGGGGGGGGGGAAACTGACTTTATATAGCACTTTAAATAACATCCCCCAAATGTTTACCTGTGCTCTCACAGGCCCGCTCAGAAGGTGAATGAAAGGATTGTAAACACAACCGTTTACATCTTTTCATCCCATTACTATTGCCCTAACTTCCCACTGGAATAACAGATTGCTATTTTCCAGGCTACCCATCTGATAGAGTGAGTGTTATCTACTTAAGGGTCATTTTTTTTTCCAATGGGTTTGGCAAATCTAACCCAGTGCTACTTCATACAAAAAAAAAATCAAATTTAAACATTAATCTTCTACAACACAAGCCTGGTAATCCTAGCCTCTGCAAATTAAATGTTGGCCTCCTCCTGTTGCCACTGAAGTGAATAAAATTTCACAATAAGCTTTCCAATTCCAGAGGAGCAGGGAGGAAGGACCCACAGCTGTTACCACCATCAGAAAGTTCTCAGCAAAGAGAAGGAGACCAGGTGCAAAGTCTCAGATGAGATCCTTGGTGACAACCTGATATAATGATGTTTTAGTAGCATTTAGGAGAGATTTTCTCCCAGTTCACAGTTGGTTACAAGAGCTCAGTGAAGCCTATTTCACAACAGCCAAGGTGCTGCCCTGCTCCTCAGGTGCTTTGCCGCAAGATTAAATACATTCTAGTTTTGTGGGTTCATTACTGAGGTACAGCATTCCTGCCATACACCTACTCTAGCAAACCTTTCACTTCACAACCTGGACTTAAATTCATTTCTAATCGTGGAATTGAAGTCCTGTAATAAATTCTGATATGCGATCCTAGTCAGTTTTATCCTCTGCAAGGGATTAAAACAGTTAATACCGCTGCTCCTCTGACACAGAGAAGCCTGCTGTGTCCAAGCATTTTACAGTATGAACCCTCTCTATCGGCTGGGAAACACCCCCTTGCTTTCATCTCTTTAAATGAGGACCAGCCCAGCTCAGTTAAGTAGAAGAGAAACTGTTTTCAGATGAAAACATCTTCTAGAAAGCAGTTCTGTGCAAAAATCAATGAGCAGCTGGTGAATGGAAAGACACTCAGGAAACAAGAAACTCCCCTACTGAGGACAGCAGTTTGCCCTATCAGCACTGTGTGCACAAAAACCCTGTCCAGATCTGCAGCTGTGAAGGTGCTGGGGTGAGGGCAGGCGAGGGGAGATGGCTGCTGAGAGAGGCAGGAGGGACCAGTCAGCATGTCTGGTCTGATTTATCCTCCTCTTTGCAACAGCCTCTCTGCGCCCCACTGCACCCACAGTTCTGCTTTCTCCATCACAAGAGAATAAACTTGATATTCTTCACCTCCCCCTAATTCCAGCCTTTGTCATGGCTTCTTATTGGAACCAAGTGTAGAGTGGGTTTTCTTTTACAGTGAAAGACTAAAGTGTCTTTTAAATGATTGACAAGGCTTATCAGTGGTTTCTAAATCACATTTGAGTGTGTCTGGGGCACTTCGGCTGCAGTGCTGCTCCTCAGCAGGCTGAAGTTCCATTTTCCATTTAGAGAAGGCCCTGGATCTTTCTGAACGTTGCCTAGCAGTGAAGGAGGCAGAGCTATGAAAGACAGAATTTTCTGTGTGCCACTAAAAGTGAAATTGTGGCTGCTCTAGCCCCACTTGAGCTACAAGAAAGATTTCTTTGCAAAGGTTGTCATGGGCCTCATGCTGGGATCTCATGCCTACCTATTGCATTAAAATATTTATAATACTGCTTAGCTCTCTTATTTGCTAAGGTGCTCACTCTTCTAGTGTCTGAAATATGGGGTAATACTCTGCTATGAGCCACTCTTTTTATCAGCCTCACATTTGAGGGTTTTTCATGAAAGTTCAGAATTTGCAGAAGGATTTGGAAGGACACAAGCAAGGTGCTGTTACACTGAGCTGAAAGGAACATAGGAAAGGATTTGGAGATAAGGTCAAGAAAGAGAAAACATGGCAAAGCAAAAGAGGTGGAGGATTAGTGATACAGAGGCCAGAGGGCTGCTGGGGAACTGGAGGGCTTTGACATTCAGACCTGCTCAGGAAGGTGACAGAGACCCTGCAAGGGAGGCTGTGTGTCATCAGTAGTAGGCACCCAGGGGAAACAGCCCCCTCACAGCCTGTGTTTCTAACAAGCAATAAAAAGCCACTTCACATAAATGCAGCCCAATTTTCTTTTCCGCCTAGCAGGTTTATTTTCCCCTCCTCTCAGAAGTGCCATGGGAATTGTTCACCAGGGAATCATACTCTGGGAAAAATGGGCGAGTGCTGCCAGTGTTGGGCCCAGCAGGTTTCTGTTCTTTGCTAAAACACATTCCTAAAAGACTGGTGAATCCGATAGAGAGTAGCAGGAGATTATTCTGGGGGTCGGAAGACAACCAACAAGGAGAGGACTCCTGCTCTTCAGGTTTCCCTGCTAATCCTGGGACTTGGCCATGTCCCCAGCCTGTGATTGTTCTGCAAGTAAGAGTGTGGCTTCAGTCACCAGGGGAAATTCAAGCTCACTTTCAGAGCAGGGATTCTTTCAAATGGGCACAACATAAATCTGCTCTGACCTGATTTGCAGCTCTGTTTCAGTCAAGCCCTCATTTAATTGAGCCTGTAAAACAGGCAAAAGTTTCAGGTTCAGATTCATGCTGTCCCTCACTTTCTAGCCAATCCTGAGCAGAGCAGAGTCTCCAGAACTGAGTGGTTTCTAAGAAACCCAAACCCAGAACTTACACATACATAATGTCTATAGCTACCAGTTCATTGCATCCACTGCCATTCCAGAGCGGACTGCATCAAACAATGGACTTACTGTGCACCATCAAACTCTCAGACAACTAATTAGGTCAGGAATAGAAGGAGCAAATGGATAGATGATTCAACTGTTGTTCATAAGACCCATATGACAAGAAAGATGCCTCATCTACATTCCTCATCAACAGTAAGAATACAGTTCGTGTGGTTTTGACTATAAAGGCAATTTTTAAAGAATTATTCTACTGGCCACTGAAATATTGCTTTGGAGTTAAGCTGGGCTCTGCTAAATCAATTGCTCTGCCTGACCTATATATTCTGTCTATTGACATGCAGCCTACTTTACTCTTTTGGCAGTTATTTCAGTAAAAATTCAATGTGCTGATCTCCGGCGGCCAAGGACAGGCCAATTGCTGGAAATGGAAAACAACTTCAGTGCCAGTGACCTGCCCCAATGTGGGACTGCAATCTCCATGGCATTCTCACGCTCTAGTACCATTCCCTTTCCTGCACAAGGTTTCAACCCTAAGCATAGACAAGGAAAAGGAGACTGTTTGCTTTCCTTCTGCTCCCTTCCTAACCTCTTCTCTCCCGTTATTTAGCACCTAGAACAAGAGAAACACGAGCTACGGAGGCGATTTGAGAACAAGGAAGGAGAATGGGAAGGGAGGGTGTCTGAACTGGAAAGTGACGTGAAGCAGCTGCAGGACGAGCTGGAGAAGCAGCAGGTTCACCTGCGCGAAGCCGACCGCGAGAAGACACGGGCGGTGCAGGAACTCTCCGAACAGAACCAAAGACTCCTGGACCAGCTCAGCAGGGTGAGTCCCCACAGCACAGCCAGGGCAGGCACCTGCCACCCTGGGCACACAAAAGCAGCTCTGCTGTAAACCACCTTTCGGGCAAGTGAGTGGGGAAGCTCCCACTTTCAGGAAAACAAATGCTTCTGCCTCTGGTCATGTTGCACAGGTGTCCCAGTAAGACATGCTGCCTTTAAACTGATTTTACACTTTTAAAGAGTGATGCATTTCTTTGGTAAAACAGTTATGTTTCTGGACTGAATGGTCATTTACTGCACAGATGTCTCTCACCTGTTTTTCGTATCTAAAACTGGTTTAGAAAATCTGTTTCTAATTTACTAATAGGCTGAACAAATGTAGCATGCAAGGAAAAGGCTGATCTGTGACTGTGAGGGGAAAGGCATGTTGCTGGCCTCCCTTTTTTGAGCTACATTGGCTGTACTGTAAAACTGAACATACCCTGTCATTCTAGGACGGTGTGTCACTACAGATAACTTTGCCATGGTTAGATGTGTGAGAACCTACTGAAATTCCTTGGAATGGCATGTTTCATCAAAGAGCTTAACTTGCCTGTGAATGAAAGAGGATTTATTGCGAGGCTGCTACAAATCAGCCTAATTGACTGAATACTTACAGCATGAGTTTCTTTCTGACAGCAAAAGACTTAACAGTTTCTGCCTCCTTCCCCCACAAGTTAACCTGTCTTCCAGAATGAAGAACCTTGTTTTTTTTCTCCCCACTGGACAGTTAGTACAAACCATAATTTTAATGCTTGAGAACACAGTTACTCCAGCAGATAAAGGCATTTTCTTCTTACCAGTTGCTTATTCCCAAAATAGCATAGAACAAAAACACACACCACAGATTCATGGTGAAGAGGCCCATCTAATGTTCTAAGAACATCTTTCAGGCTAGATTCTGTCCTAGCTGAGTCTCTGGGGCTGACACAGGGATTTTGCCTATGGGATTTTCACCCCAGACCAGGAGACTCTGAAATGGGCCAAGTACACAGGTCTTCACTCAATCTGTGTATGCAGCTTTCCTGTGCCTCTGGAGGTAAGAAGAGCAAGTTTTGGGTATGACACTCTGTACTGATCCTTGAAGAAATCATTCCTTATTCTGCTGTAGATTTTCTTGTCAAAGACTAAAAAAGCCACTTAGTGCAATTTGATTTTTTTTAACTGGCTTTAAAAAAAATACAAAAATACCTCAACTTCCTTAACTCAGGAACATTGCTAAGTTTATCCGTGTTTTTAAAGCAATATCTCCCAAGTGCAGCAGATGAGCTAGAGAAGATATTTCACCCTTTCTCTGGACACAGCATATTTCACATACAACATGGATGAGAGATTCCACCCAAGCTTTCACAAGTTGTGTGTTATGTCAAGTTTCTTATACAGGGCTAAGAACTTGTCTCCCATCAGACTGGGTGACCCTCAATAATTTCCTGTGTATGGATGATTTCTGTCACTGACTGGGAAATGTAAGGCTTGTTATGGTTCCAGCATAAGTATAAACTGAAAGAACAGACTAGAAGGTAGGAGAGGAAAACCAGACAGCTTGCTTTGGGCTTTAAACCACATGGGATTATCCTCACATGACACTTGCGCTGCGGGAGCCGCTCACAGCCAGACGCTCAGGGAGACATTCAGCTAAGCCTTGTCAGAGGAGCCACCAAGTCAAGTCTACCAGCATGTAATGTCCCAGCATGGGTTTTGTTCCCCTAACTTCCTATTACTGCCAGAAATAGTCTTCATCAACCCACTCCAGAACTGCCACATCTGAAAAAGTTGAGTCTTGGTGCTGCCCTTCTCGCTCCAGCCCAGCCCTGCTCCCAGCCTGGAGGACTGTAATTCCCCAATGCAGATGAAGCAGAAAGATGCCAAGGCACGTTTCAGTGCTCATCATTGTCACCTGGCCAAAACTTGCCAGTAACTCAAATACACCAACGGATAGAGCACTGGTGTAAACAGTCTTCCTAAAGTCAGGAGAATCTGGGCAAATTAAAAGAGAGTGGGGAATGATCTGTTGTTGTTCACAGGGATTTAGCTGAGGCTTTTTAAAATCTCAGCATTATATTAGCACTTGATTACTGGCTGCTTAGTATTCCACATTTGCTGCTCCATAGTGCAATTGCAGTCTCGTGTCTGGTCTCTTATTTTGAAGAGGTTATGCATGTAATCCCCGAGGCAGTGGTAGTGCTTAAATCCTGCACCCACATAGTCCTGGCTCCTGTGCCACTTAGGCTTTCAATTAATAAAAAGGACAAACAGAGCTGCATGGATGTGCTTGCCTACAGCCATATTGCCATGGGCTGGAGTCCTGCCTGGGATCATGAACTGAGCACTGACAGAGGAAAGGTCCTGCAAAGAAGTGCTGTTACAGCTTCTGTGACCTTTGAGGTGGTGTCCTCCTTGAATTCCTGGTTCTTCATTTTGCACCTGCCTTTCGTGTCATGGTGGGTTCTTTGGGAGGAGGGGGTTAGGAGAAGTCTGGGATAAGGCAGTGAAAGCCTTACTCAGAGGCTCAACTCTGCCCCATCCAATACTGCTATACCCTGCTTCACTCACGGGACAGAAAGGGAGCCTGCTCTCTGGTATGAGTCATTCTACACTAGTAGGCACTAGCTCTTTAAATTTGAATTTCCACAGTTTTTGGCAATTAACATCTCATGGCCCCATTTCACAATACTTGATCATCTCCCTCCTGGAGAAGGTATTCCCTTGGCTTAGGTTCTACATGTCAAATGACAGTCTCAGCCTCAGGAGCTGCCAGCCCACACGGTCCTGTTTGCTCCTTCTAGAGCCCCTGGGCTTCAGCCTCTTTTACCTCAAAGCAGGGCAGCAGCCACCATCCTAACCCTCCTCCTCCCTGCTACTGATGACGTTCTTTAACCAACTAATTAGGCTTTAGGACATTTTTTTAACCCTGCCTCCCCCAGAGATGAAAAGCCAACACAAGCACATACTTTGTCTAAACGTGGCACAAATGCAAACCAACCATGCACACCCCCCCCACACACAGATAGCAAGGGGACTGAAAAAAATCCAGCCTCAATTCTAGCAAAGACTGATAAGGAAAACTCAAGGATAGGGATTTTAAGTCTGTTCCAATCTCTAAAAATTATCCTTTTGCCTCTGCCAAGAGGCTAAAATAAGGTCCTTAAAATGATTTGAGGTCTTCCGATGAGGTGGTGATATAGGAGAACTTTAAATATCTAATAATAGTAAGTAGGCTATAAGGAACTTTGCCTCCTCTTGAAATACAGCCTTTGGTTCTCTGCTTTTAGCAGAATGAAGATATTGCCTGAGGTTATAGCAGCATTAAACCATGGGGAAAATTTGGTGAGCTGGACCAGGAGTGCATAGTGAAGGAAACAACTGAGATGCCAAATATCAAGTTTAAGATCTCCACAGTAACCTTATTTTTTAATTTGCTAAGTGATGATTAAAATCCCTTCTGCACATTGCTTTGATTTCCCTCCCCCTGCCTCAGCACAGCAAAGCAGGAGCTCTCAGCAGTGTGTCCACACCAAGCTAAATGCTGAATTTACCAAGGAGAACTGCAAAGCTCATCGTGAGCAGGATGCCAGGGTACAAACTGCTCACCAGAAATGCTCAGAGATAAAGTATGGGAGTCAAAGAACAGTTCTGCTGAGAAAGTCGAGGCTTGGGAATTATTACATGTTCTGTTTCCAGCTCCTTCAGTCTCTCCCATCTGTTTCAGTTCTCCACTTGGGAAAAAAAAAAATCCTGTGCTCTCTGTCCTTTAGTTATAAAATGTGAGGGCAGTGGGTACAGGGAAAGCTCTCCTCTTATTGGTGCTCACAGCAGGTAACACAGCTTAAATCCTGTCCCCACCTTTGGGCTTCTAGGAGTTACTAATGCAAACAATAATAACAGGCAACCCTCTTCCTATAATGAGGCAACATATTACTACTTTGTCAGGAAGTGAATGAAAAAAGACTTTCACAGTGTTTCTAAGTGCCTTCACCAGATGGCTTTCCCACACATTTCCTGCTACCCAGCTCTGGGCTCCTGTAGCTGTTTGCTGCCTGTAGCTTGGGCGAGGATGTGTCCATGTATCCTTCCCTGTTCAGCTGGGCTTCCTTTATGGTACATGGAGCATAAGGAGGCAATTTCACAGTGTCAGGCTCAGGTAGTTTTTGCAATGCAAATCTGTTTTCAGTGGCAGGCAGAAGCGTGTCATCTTGCACCACTGAAACAGCTCTTTGTGTTCAGAGGGGAGCTCTGGGTCCCTCAGAGGGGCCCTCAATCACCAAGTTCTTATATTCACTCAGCATCTAGAGCCAACATGCTGCTACAAAGAATGAGGTGTTTCAGTCAATCCTTCTGGTACAGCAAGAACATGATCAGCCAGCCCACAAGTCTCCAAAGGAGGTTTTATTTACTAGGCACAAAACCTTCCTTTCAGTAATTTTTCAATTGAAGGAGTTCTGTTTCTAACTTCATGCTCTAACATGCAGCATAGCTTCAGAGGACTGGCAGGCACTGCCTGGCTTGGATTTTAGAGAAATGGGTTTTTATTCAAGAATAAGCTGATCATGTTATATTCTCCTTTCCAAACCACTTTTATTTTAAATACATCCTTTTGTGGTCAAGAACACACTCACAAGAGAGGTGAACCTGTTGTCTATTATTGATTTGAGGAGATTTTTCTGAATGGTTAGTTGTTGGGTCTATCAGCATAGGAACAATGTTGGTTTTGAGAAATTCAGACTATTCACTGAAAAAAAACTACTGGAACAAGTGTGCTGAGCAAGATTCACTGTTTTTGCCATGACAGATTTGTAGCTATTACACTATGAAGTGGCTTGTCTTTAATTCTGTATTTTATCTATACAGGTGCTTAATGCAAGCCTCCTTATGTTTCTTGTTTATTAGGTTGTCTCTGATAACCTGACAGGGTCTATTGGGAACTTCATGCTTAGCACAGAGGCAAAGGAGTCAAGCTGAATTTAAGTCCTGCTTCAGGGGATTTATTTTTAACCAGAAGAGGAT